AAATCTACTGTCATTTTTTTTCTTTATTCCTGTGTGCCTTTTTTCTCTGGCTGCTTTTAAGGTTTTCTATTTACCACTGGTTTCAACAATTTGATTATGATGTGTCTTTGTATGGTTTTCTTCATGATTCTTATGTTTCGTGTTCATTGAGCTTCTTCAATCTGTGACTATACTGTTTTCATCAAATTTGGATATTTTTCAGCCATTATTTTCTAACTAATTTTTTTCCTCTCTTCTTCCACCCCTCTCTCTTTTCCTTCAGATATTCCAGTCAAACATATATTAAACTGCTTGAAATTGCCCCACAGCTCACTGATGCTCTTTTCCATTTTTAAAAAATTCCTTTTCCTCTCTCTGTCCCATGTTGAGTAGTTGCTCTATGTCTTTAAATTCATGAATCTTTTCTTCTGCTATTAATCCCATCCAGCGTATTGGTCATCTCAAACATTGTAGTGTTCTTTTCTATAAGCATGACTAGGACCTTTTTTATGCCTTCTATGTCTTTACTTAGCCTTTTGAACATCTGGAATCCAGTTCTGATAATTTTTAATGTCCATGTCTGCTGATTTCCAGCGTCTCCGTCAGTTCTGGGACTGGTTTTGATTGGTTAATGTTTCTCCTCAGTTTTGGTCACATTTTCCTATTTATGTACATGTCTGATAGTCTTTGATTGGATGCTAGACATTGCCGGTTTTACCTTGAGCACCACATATTTTTTGGGTTACTTTAGGTTTTCTTTAGCTTTGTTCTGGGATGCAGTTAAGTTACTTGGAAACAGTTTGATCCATTTGGGCCTTGCCTTCATGACTGAAACAGTTCTCAGTCTGGGTCTAGTTACTTCCCACTTCTGAGTACTCTACTCAATGCCCTGTGAATTCTGAGTTTTTGGCCTGACCAGAAGGAACAGGCACCATTCCTGGCTCTGTGTAAGCACTGGGCAGTGTTCTCTCTCAGCCTCTCAGATGGTTCTTTCTGGGGCCTCTCATGGTTTTCCCTCACACGTGAGCCTGTCAGCACACTCTTGAGTGCTCAGGGGACAGATCCCTCTGCAGACCTTTGGAGTTCTCTCTGTGTGTAGCTCACTCTTCTTGGGGACTCTCAGCGTTACCTACTCAATTGAAAGATATTGCAGGACCACACCTGGGTTTCCCCTCCGTGTGCTGGGGAGTAGAGATTCTCTCAAGGCATTAGTTGGAACATTCATGTGTCTCACCTCATTTGTCATTTGTCTCTCAGGGATCACTCTCCTTTGCCTGATGTCCAGTGTCTTACAAACCACTCTCTCATGTATTTCGTGTTGTTGTTGTTGTTGGGAATAGGAAGGTTGTTTTAGGCAAAAGGTTAAATCCATCTTCGCCAAAAGCAGAATTATTCAGTCCTTTCAAATTTGTTGTTAATTTAAAGTATTTTAAAGAGAGCTATATACATGTTTATAGTTTTGAAAAATGCACTATTTGCAGTTGGATTCTAAATAAATAGTTCTGACTGAACTCATTGTATTTCAGAAAAGATGTGTGCTTCCCTCTTTTGCTTATTTTTTTTTCTTTTTTATGCTACTGCTTAATGAGCTTATTTTCATTCTTAAAATATTTGTTTCAGCTAGCAGCATCTTGACTGATGCTATAATAGACTGTTACAGGCCTTGAAGCTAAGCAAATCTGATTTACAATGCCGGCTGTACCATATTAATTGTTACATTACTTTGAGCAGTTTCTTTCCTTTTTTCTCTTTTTCCCCTTTATTCTTTTGTTATTTTTCTTTCCTTTTCTTTCCTATTTCTTACATTCACTTATTCATTCATTCAGTCTTTCAAGAACTTCTTGTCACACACTGTTATGTAGTAAGAAAACTGCAATGAAGAAAATAGCAAAAATCTCTGCTCTTTTACATTCGAGTTTGGGAGAGAGAAACAAAATAGCTGAATTATGTAGTAGATTAGATAGTGATGAGTGCTGTGTAAATAATAAAGCAAGGCGGGTGGATTGGGAGGCCTGGGAGTTGATTGCAACATTAAATAGAGCAGTCAGAGAAGGCCTCGCTGGCATTTGAGCACAGACTTGAAAGCACAGTTATGTCGATAAGGAAGAATGGGGATTATCCAGGGAGAGGGAAGAATAAATGCAAATCCCTGAGGCAGCAGTGTGCTTGGCGTGTCCAAGGGGTAACAGGGAAGGCCAGTATGGCTCAAGAGGAGCAAGCAAGAGAGAAGAGCAAGGAGGAAGAACAGTAGAAGAGGTCAGAGGGTAAATGGGAGGCGGAAGTGGGGCAGATTTGGGGGATTTGCATAGGCCATTGGAAGAATTTTGGCTCTTTCTTTGAATAAAATTAGGGAACCATTTTCAGCCAGGTTTCAGCAGAGAAGTGACTGCATCTAATGTAACATTTTAAAAGCATCACTCTGGCTGCTCTATTGAGAATGGGAAAGGGTGGAGATAGGGAGACCAGGTAGGAAGTTGTTGGAGTAGTTCCAGTGACGGATGATGACAGCCCAGACCAGGGTAGTAGCAATACAGGTAGTCCTAAGTGGTCAAACTCAGAATATATTTTGACTTATAATCAGTAGGACTTCTCGACAGATGGAGACTACTAAGTAGTAAGTATAATTATGGAAGAGGCCAGGGTCTGATCCCTGAGGCATTTAACACTATAAGATTTGGAAAAGAGGAGAAAGTAGCAGAATAGACAGAGGAGAAAGAAAACCAAGAGAATGTGGTGTCCTAGAAACCAGGTGAACAAAGTATTCTCAGAAGGTTAGAGTGAACATCTGTGACAGGTGATGCTGATAGATCAAGAATGATGAAGTATGACAATTGGCCTTTGTATTCTGCAGTTTCGTTAGAGCAGTTTTGGTGGAGTGACTAGGGTAAAAGCTAGATTGAAGGGGCCTTACAGAGCAAATGAGAGAAGAAAAATGGAGCGAGCAAAATAGACAACCCTTTCAAGGAGTTCTGCTGCAAAAAGGGAAAAAAGAAATGAGATA